TAAGCAACCAAAGCGCCGCGAGCCCTAACCGGGCAACCGGCAAACCTCGAATATTGGAAGCAGGAGCAACCTGGCTGGGCAAGCTGGGCACTCAGCATCGCGAGCTGTGAGGTTGAAGGGCTTCGGGTTGGGCAGAGTTGCTGCAGGTCTCAACGGTTTGGTACATGATAGTAGTTGGTGGTTTTCGGCGATTTTAGGTTGAGGGTCAGGCTTGTGGAAGTTTGGCGGTGTCCTTCTCTTGAATGAACGGTTTTTAGCATACTGAGTCCCAGAATAAGAAGTGCATAGAGACTCATTTCGCATTGCGTTCGATAACTCCAGACCCGCTAAGCACAGGTCAGAAGCGTGGAATGCAAAATGTAGAGCTTGAGCCCTAAAGCCTAGATGTTGGCCCATGTGTGCACTGCCCCTGCCTGTTTTGCCTCCCATCCAAGCAGAACGCATTGTCCTCACCATGGAAAAGCCAAGATAGATAGACCGAGAGCATGTATCCATGATAGGTGTACTGCCCTTTGCAGGTAGGGATCTGGCCAATTTTGGGCTTCGGGCGTCTAGGTCTGTGGTTTTCGCCATCAGGGAGCTTCAAGACGTGGCATCAGCAATCACCAGCAGGGTCGCGCTTCTGCTTTGGCGATTGCATGCAGCAAACCGCGGGCACAAAGTTGCCTAGACCCCTCTCACTGATCCTTGATAAAGCGACAGGTTGGAACAACGACGTCAGCTGCGTTGCCGATCGGGACTCTCATGCGCCGGCTGTGGGCAGCGCCGTAGGCGGGGGCCCATTGTACGTATATAATGTACCAAGAGACGCCATGCAATACCATGTCGTACTAAACTTTTACTGAACTATATGTAGTAATGCTGTATACTGCAATACTAGACAGCTCAATGATCGATCTTCGTTCTGCATTTGCGGAACCTGATCCTGAGTCGGTATTTAGACTTGAACCCTGTGGGCAGCTACGGAGCTACAGCACTTATCGTTTACAACATGCACTAGCATCTGGCTCTTATTATCAGGGTTCTTAGTATGGACCTTGTCATGGGGTTCGGTGCTGGTTCCTACACTGTGGTTTGAGCCTGAGCATGGGAGCCAGGACGTAGGGTTGCGGAAACATGAGGAAGTCATCAGGAATCAAAGGGTTTGTTGATTCGTTGGGTGAGCCAGCTTGCCCCAAAAAATTGGAAGCAGCTACAGCCCCATAAATCCCTAAACCCTTGGTGCCACCTCAAAGTCCCTATGAAAGCTTGTCAAAACCCAGTAAGACTCGACTGAGACTGTCATGGCCCCAAGCAGGTGATGCGTGCCGGAACATGAAGGAATTCCGATGCTTGGAGATCCCGGAAGCCTGTGCATTTCTCAGACTTCTCGTGTAGGCTTCCAGCTGCCAGATAGGCCCGCTTACTTCAAGGGCCTCACCATGCAAATCATGGTAGGTGTATTAACCAGGGGTCTACATCAGGGTGTCTGGTTTAGGGTGCACGATTTAGGGGTTGAGTGTTTGATTGATGCACCAGATTTTCGGGTAGCTTACGGTGAAGATTCCCTTGAGTTTCAGGTGTGATGTTTAGGTCATCTCACGATTGTTTACAAGACGGTTCAGGTTAGATTACTTGTGGTTCCTGGCTTCACCAGGAACGTACCCGAACCTGTTTGAGTGCTCGTAGCTTCAGAATAAGTATTTATCAGGTGTCCCCAAAACCAAAGGTTTGCCCCGAACCGTGGCTGAAAATCGGTGATGTTTCTCCTTTTTGTCTTACAAGAGTCCCCATACATGATTGTGGGGCTATAGATTTCCTGATGTGTGGAGTCTAGTGCAATAATGGTATCATCATACAGTAAACTTGCATGCCATGCTGCTTAACTCTGAAAGGTATTAGGGCTTGAGTGGTCCGCATGATTCAGGGCATGGGCTGCGTGTGTGCAAAGCGTTTCTCCTCGTTTCGCGTAAATGTTCCGGCCGAGATTCTGAAAGCCCCGGAATGTGAGCTCTGCACCAGGGGTGCTCACAACACAGCTTCGAACCATAGATGTCGCTTCTGACGCCCTTGATCTTGACGCTGAATTCTTCTAAAGGATTGAAGAACGTGAAGTCATGCCTCGCATGAAGGAAAACAGATCTTCACCAAGAGATCCCAAATCCTAAACAATAGTAGTCACAAGTGTAACCAGCTGGAGAGTAGCGTCCATGAATTCGACCTCATCGCTGCGAGGCAAGTCCAACATTTGGGATGTTGCAGACTACGCCACTACCTGAGTGATGAATTCTGGAGAATCCTACCCTTCATTCTGCGATGGATAGTTATTGTTTTTACGGGTTAGGTTTGAGGAGTTAAGCATCTTGCATTGCAAGGAGGAACATGGATTCCTTGCGTGAAAGTCTGGAATGCCGCAAGAAAACGGAGATAGCGAAAACCGAAACATGGTGCGGCTTGAATCTAGCCTGTGATTCTGGAGAAGCACCGATTCAGTTTCCAGTTCCGGGTGCCCTTGCCCGGAGTGCCTATGTCAAGGGTTAGGGCTGATGAGATCGACAAGTTCTCGGGGTAGGCTTTGCTTGGATCTCTGGTTTGTGTTTGGAAACTTATGAGTTGAGGATGTTCCGGAGGCAAGCGTTCCACCAGCTACTCAAGCAATGGCGTCGGGAGATAGAAAGATTGTGGACAAGCCGACAACACTGCCTCAAGACCATGACACAGCCGTCCACCTTGCACAGCTTGAACGGCAGATCAGAGTGACACCTTCAAAACCTATGGCGATGCAGCTGAGAACCGCTGGAAGTGCAAGGTTCAGGAATCTTTTTCTTAGTGTCAGGCTTGGGTTGGCCACAGGGGTTCTCCTGCCACAGGGTCCCTTTCCAGGGGCTCAACCCCAAACATACTTAGAAACCCAGTGGGCTCAGCAAGTATAAGTAAGGCTATACCTAGGAAACCAATGTAAGTTACTCAAGTCCAATACCGCCGTTAATAACTCACATGATCTAATATGGTTCCTTCAAGTTCTTATTATAGGATCCACCAGAACGAACCTATGCGCCCGTATGAACGTTCTACGACCTTGACTAAAGGATAACTCGCACTTTGCAGACAACCTACAAGTAGCTTACAACGAAGTCTTTCTGTGTGGCTGAAGCGCAAGAGCCGACATCCTGACTACCCTAAACCTAAACCCCACAAAGCCCGCACCTAAGCCAACGAACCGAAACCTGAAACCCCAACTACCCCAACCTCGAACTCAATCTAATTCACCTAAACCCTGCACCCTCGCTCCTTAGAGCCCCATTACCAACGGCGCTGTAAACCGCAAGAAGGTCTTTGGTGTGTACTATGCAGAGCAGGGAGGAAAATCTCCTTTGGAACACTGCTACTTTAAAGGCCCGGATCTTGGGTCTTGCTCTGGGGGAGTCGGGGGCTTTAGACGGGTTTCGAGTTTCGTCATGTTTTGGAGTTGAGTCTAGGGTTTAGGGATGTTGAGGCTATCGCTGCTTTGTCACGGTTCCTAGAAGGCCTTCTGTGCACGAAATGGCCGCGGCATCGAATCGAGAATCTACCGTCAAGAACACCTGAGCAAGTCTTCAATTCTAGCCACTCCTGTGTTCCCGGAAGTCCTCAACCTTGAAAGCAGGGACCTGATGCAGTCTGCAGCTCATGCATGACAGACTCAGCCCAAAAAACCTGCAAATGGCTGCAGGTCAGGGCAGCAAAAAAAGATCGACACCCGAAAAGCAGCAATAGTCAGCAATAGGGCTATTCGCAAAACCCCCAGCTGAAACTCATTTAGTTTCTATCTTAGGAATTCAGGGTAAATGGCTTCACGATATAAGATAAGAGGCTTCACGTGTTAGGACTGAGAGCCTAAGGGCCGTCCCCGAAGAGGGGTGTCCACGTTAGGGGGTCCTTAAACACACCTTTCGGAACCGTGAGTTTCTCAACCAGTTTCGTGGTTATATGAGCTCCTCTCAGTAGTATTACATTTTCTTTGGATGTGCGCGACTGCAGGGGTGAAAGCTGGCGTCAGGGCTGATCGGGTTTGGATATTTCGTATTTGGGGCCACAGTAAGGATCGGAGAAAAGCTTCCCTTCACTAGGAACCATGCATGCGCCTTGTGGTAAAGCTGCATGCTTCACACCGCCGAAGCATTTCTACGGACTGTCTGCGCGTTCAGCCTCCGCGAACTCTTTTTCTGACTTCCTGCAGCGGGCTCCTCAGCTGACTTTCGCTTGAGGAATCTGGATGCTGAGCCTTTCACGACCGCTGACGGACAAAGACTTGCAATACATGCCTATTTACGCTGGAATATGGCGCGATTTCAATATATGCAGGATTTGGATCACAAAAGCTTCTTATCAGAGGGACCCGGCAAAGTTGAGACAGCTTCGTTTAGGTCTTTGGGCTTTTGCGCCTTGGCCCACGGCTTTCACTGTTTCGAGCTGTCGTGCAGTTACGGAATTCGTATTTAGGGTGTAAGCTGTTTTGTGGCAGGTCGCATGTTGTTTTGGATAGTACCGCGGCTTGTGAATGTCGACATACATACATCCATAGTGCATGTATGCGTGCACACATGCATACAAGCATGCATGCATACTGCATCCAGCCTACATAAGGGATTACATACACGTGCACATATCCTCATATATATCTGCCCCGTTTTTTTGCAAGGACTCTGTCACCTAAACTCCTGATTCTCTAAATTCAGACCCCATTATTCAGTGGAGTTGACCTGACAATCCATCTAAGGCTTTGGGCTTAGGGCTGACGTGTGAAACTTAAAGTGATGACGTGGAACGACCGACGGGTCACTCATTCCAGTCCCCCAAAACAGAGAAGCAGAGCCCTGACAAACTGCTGCTATTAGAGGGGCACATCCCGCTCTCAAATACAAGTTCAATGCACATTTCATCCGGAAGCTCCAAGCCTACAGCCCTCAAGTGCTAAACCCTAAAGCGCAATCAAAAATCCGTGTAAAACCCTAGGCGCACTTGTGCAACGTGCAAAGGCCATGTACGCCTGCTCTGGTCTCGGCGGGTACAGTGCGTCTTCGGCCATGACAGGCGGGCCTTTGCAGTATACCGTATATATAGTAGGGGTGTTTAAGGTATCGGAGCGCCTTAGGACTTTAGGGGTTGGCGGTTGGCGGATTTAGGGCCGTAGGCTTTCGGTCTCAGGGCTTGACGTGGCTTGACCGGGCGACCCATAACAGCAGTTCAGCCTGGCAACTCATAAACATCACTCGGCCCTCAAGGTTTCTCATTCCCCAGCCCTCATAAAGCCACAACAAACATAAAAGTGTTTATGAACGGTATACACAAGATTTAAGAAACCCTCAAGAACCCTGCCATGGAGTCACATCCTAAGCCCGAGGCACTACGATTCAAAGCCTCTGCGCGCGCAGGCAACGCTGGCACATATTCGCTCCCTCCGGCACGCTCTGAAGGACCCCGCTCGGAAGGCTTCAACTATTGCTCCGCCCTGAGCTATAGGAGTATAGGACAAACTCAGACAAACATATATATATATATATGTGTGTATATTATATAAACACATATACTGATTTCTATACACATTCATATAGTTTATAGGTATTGAAACATACAAGGTATAACTGCGTATCATGTCTTTACATTTGAGCAGACCATGCCATGCTACAGTGCAGGCAGACTACAGGTAAGTCTACAAGCTGAGGGCTCAGGGTTTCGGTGCGCTGCACCTTGAAGCCTACACCTTCACTTCCAGGCCTTGTATGGCCCTATGCCTACTCGTCTTGGACTTCGAAGTGCTTTTCTCGCACGTCCAAGACCTCGGACTTAGTGAAGTCGTTTCGAGCAGGATGCTTGAGGTCCTTGAACCCACAGCTTCAAGGACAGCTTTAAGCCTTGAGCCACTGACTTCATGAAGGCAAGGAGAGGTGTTCAGTACTTCTAGACTCGTGCTCCGAGACTTTGATTTTCGTGTCCGTGTGAAGCCACAATAGGTACTAAAAGGTACGGTGCTTTAGAGTTAGATTACAGTCCCTTCTTTCGGTCGAAACAGGCTTCAAATTTTGCGACACGAAGCGAAGGCCAGAACGAAGGTTTCCAAATCCAGCAAAACTTGCTCCAGAACACGAAAATTCTGAAGGCTCTCGAAGCTTAAACGACACCTTTGGGAAGCCCTCAACGCCCAGAAGAGTGTCTCACTCCGAAGTCCCCAAGACCCAAGGTGTTTTAACTCCGCAAACTTGAGGGATGCCACGATGCTAAACCCCAAAAACCTAAACTCCCCTCGCCGGAAGAACTGAAGCGTTCAGATCTAAAAGCTCCGCCCAGGGAGCACCAGAACTCTTAGTTTATCAAGGCTGTTGGGCTCCCTAGGTTAGCAGACCCAACTTTCAAGTCAAACCCAGACCGTGCTCCCACTTCGAGGTTCGGGATACACCAACCTTGAGCAGGAGCAGTTCGGGATACTGTAACCTTGTCATTATGCTTGTACTCAGAATATACGACAATAAGCCAGGCAACTATTCTGGAGGGACTTATACATGCCTGGGCTATTTGTACAGTTGCTGCGAAGAAACACGCCTTGAGCCTTTCGTAAGGTCCAGGTCAGACCTTGAAGATGCAGCTTGGATGCACCCGATGCCCGGATCCGAGGAACGACTCCCGATGCCCGAAGACCCAACTTTCAGCCCCAAGCCCGGTCCCGGCCTAGCTTTCTCAGGGATGGCGGCTCAAGTTACATGGAAAAGTCTTAACCACCCAAAACCGAGCCCTGCCCAAGCTCACATCGGCGGTGACCTAAACGATTAGCCAGTCGACATCTTCAGCCCGCAGCTTGACGACATGTTGCGGATTTCTAGATCTCCCTTTTTTTGCTTGGGCTGTTGTGTATGTGTATATATATATCTATATATATATATATATACATACTCACACGCCCATGTCAGAGTTACGTACTTAGAACCCGCATACCGGATGTTCTTCGAGGCAGTGGGAGCGTCATTCGCTTAGGGACAAGGTCTTCTGAGTCACGTGTAGGAACTCAACTTCAACTTGAGTTACTTTCTCGAGAGTACATGCACATGTATATACATACAGACCTACTTACCTACCTACCTACCTACCTACCTACCTACCGACCGACCTACCTACCTACCTGCCTTCCTACCTACCTACCTACCTACCTACCTACCTACCTACCTACCTACCTACCTACCCACCTACTTACCTACCGACCGACCGACCGACCGACCGACCTACCTACCTACCTACCTACCTACCTACCTACCTACCTACCTACCTACCTACCTACCTACCTACCTACCTACCTACACGCATACATACACCCACATACATATCTGTATATGTGTATAGAGAGAGAGAGAGAAGAGAGAGAGAGAGCTTATGGTAGGCTAAGCTGAAATTATGTTCATAAAAACAAATCTATTTCTGCTCTCGGGGTTGTTGTCCAAACCGTTTTGGGTTGTGGTGGGGTTGAAGAGCTTGGGGCCTAGGGTTTGCACCGTAGCCGATTGATCAGCAGCTCCCTGCACCAATTTGGGCCAAACGGTAACTCACCATCATAAACCCTGGACTCGAACCCTAGCCCCGCCCAACCCCATTCAGAAACCCTGGCATGACTGAAGAAAGAGAGGGCCGAGGCCGCTAAGCTTGAGGAGCGGCGGAAAGGAGTGGCCTGAACGAGCGCACGCGTGTGCAGGAGTTTCGTGAGTGTATGCGCCCTCAGTGGTGTGGGTTTTGCTCTGTGTGTCAATGATGCGACTCGTTCTGCTTTTTGTTGCGGTCAGGATTCGCAACACGATTCTCATCAGCAGCGGCCGGGTGACCAAAGAACTTTGGAAAGGCTGAATGGCCCTGAAACCGAAATGGACAACATGCACGTGACGAGAGGGGATGCCGATCGGTGCGTAGCCGTTGTGGCGGGTGGCGAGCCCGGCATGTTCACCCGACATTGCAGACCCTCAGAAGGAGCCAATCACTCGAAGTCGTGACAGGCGTGATCACGTAAGTAGTACAGTTCTCTTCCACCTGGCGTTGGCACGAATTCCCTATGTTCATACATGCCTATCATGCCTACATATTGGCTTATATGTACATGTTGGTTTGCAGGTACCCTTCAATCCTTCAAGCTACCCTAGCCCAACACCAAAGCCCAAACCAAAGCGACTCGGGATCCCAAATGCCTAAGGCCCGCAAACGCTTAAGCCCCCAAGCCATCCTCTGAAGCACCCGGACAATTCTACTTCTCTTGAGGACGGCACAACTCCAGCTCGGAGAGCCGGCCCAGCTCCAGCTAGGGGAGCCTCTGAACTGGTGCCTTCGAAGCACCTCCTTGCGTGTCGGATTTCGGGCGGTTTAAGGGTTGGTGCCCCAGCGGCATTCATGGCACGAAACTTCAAGGATTAGCGACTGATCATACTCAGCGTTTGGATGTCTAGATTTCGGAATTTCGAGTTCTGGGAGTTCCGCACATGTAGCTCAGGGCCTAGGTATGTTTCTCCAGCTCTCCACCAGAAGGGCTTGTGGCCAAACCGTTGACAAATTAAATCCGTAAAGTCCCGCATGCTGAACCACAACCCAACTTGGAAGATCATGTCTTGGCACTTATAGTACGTCGATTGTGTTTTCAGGTGCTGCGTAGCCTGATGAGGTGTCCATTATTTCTTCTGGCTAGGTTCCGGGAGCCTCTACGTAAGCACTTCACCATAAAAGAAATGAAGCTGAAGCCTCTCAATCCTGAACCCTAAGCCTCAGTCAGTCGCACAAATACACCCTACGTCTCTAAGCCCGCTCAACTGCAAATCCAACGCCGTCTTGAACAGCACCATAAACTGCAATGACCCAACCCCCGAGAGAGACTCTCCACCCCCACAGGCCAAAGAGGCTTGGGAACCAAGCCCAAAACCCCCGCGCGGGTTCACTTTCCACGGTGGTTTTGTGTCTTTGTTTTCGGGGCTCGGAGGTTTTTAGGTATTGAGAAATAGCTTTTGTTGGTAAGGGCTTTGGATAGTATGTGTGCTGACCTTGTTTTGGTGATGACTTGTTGCTCTTGTGATTGCCACTACGCTGGTGTATGTTATGCGCGCGGTGTTTGATGTTGTGCGGATTATGTCGATTTTGCAGTACTACTGTTGCTGTCGAACGCCGCCCTTAGTCTTGTTACTGCTTCTGCGATTGCTATGACGATGCCGTGTGTAACGTCCGTCATGAATGTTCTGCAAAATCTCCAGTTGTCTGCCACAGTATAAGTCTGTAAGAGCTCCGCCTTGGAGCCACTACCCTAAGCCCTAGTCGTCCTGAACCCTTTGCCCGCTCGTAGGTTGGCCCAGCAGGGGGAGGGTGCGTGTGCCCGCGGCCACGTCCTCCTCCTGCTGTCGTTTCGTTCGTTTCGTGTTCGTTTCCTCTTGTGGTTGACTCTAGGATTGCAGCCTAAGGCTGCCGAAGAAACAGAATGTCATTAAGCTCCCCCCCCAAAAAAAATCAAGCAGAGCGCATCACAGAAAACGGCGCAGACAGAGAAACACAGAAAGCGCAAAGCGCGGGATGGCAAAGAACATGGTTTCAGAAAGTCAGGAATATAGCACGCAGGCGACGTTTTTGGAGCTCCGGACAAACAAAAATGTACGACATGAGTTTTCGTGCAAAAAACAAAAAAGCGGAAATGAGACAGAACCCTCGGCGGCTACGAAGAGCGTAACATCTGCAAGAAGGCGAAAACCTCGCGCAGGACGGTGTTTTCCAAGTGAGGGAAAGGCAGCACTGAAAAGAGAGTGGCATGCAAAAGCACATAAACAGCAGCAACAACCACCCCGGAAAGTGAACCCGCTCGGCACAATCCGCACGAGAAGCCAATGAATCCTCAATCACGCAAAACCTTCAACCGCACAGCAGATAAGCTACATCGCCAAAGAACTCGGAGGGCCCTAGCCCGGCGGCAGTATAGTACAGTGTTCACAAGGCTGTAAGCGGGTAGTTGGCAGGCTCCTCCCAATGTCATTTTGCATCTGAGTCCACGTTCGCAGCGACTTTGATGACTGTGTGAAAACCCGTAGATGCAAGCCTCTCAACCCCTCAGTCCCCCCCACAAGCTTTAGGACCCAAGGATGCCTGCAAAGCCTCAAGCCCTCAGCCCCAAATCCCAGGCCTTCCTAGAACCCACACAATCCTAGCAATCCTGCAGATTGCATACCCTGCCCAAGCACATATGAGAAAATCCTATAACGAAGCCCTTCTAGCAGCAAACGCCCAGTTGCTATCTACACCTGGCAAGTAATGTAGAAGCACCCAAGACTCGATTCTAGTCATGAGGGGTAGTCGCCAAGGAGTGCCCCGGCTGGTTCGCAGGATGTCCTTCCGCCCCCTGGTCTCTCAGCAGCTCGGAGAGACGATTTGATTGGTGTTTTGAGGAGGGGACATCAAGGGCAGGGTCATGGCTTAGTGTTTCGTGACGACGTTAGGTGCTTCAGGTTTGTTCGGTTTCTATTCTGGGGTTTCACTAAAGTCCAGGAACTTCAAGTTCAGTCAGACAGTTCCATACACAACCCCAAAACCTTTAAGCCTAAAGCGCGAAACCCTAAACTTTAACCCCTCAGCCCTTCTAAACCGGAAACCCCAAATTGATGGTTGCGGGATGTGAGTTTCTCAACATCTGCGGGTTAGATTTGCTTCGGGTCCAATCTTTGGGGGCCATAGCGGTTGAAGACTTTTCTGTCTGGGGCTTACAAAGAGGTCGCGGGCGTCACGGGCAGAAGTCAGAGGGCTTAGGATGTTGGGGGCGCGGGACTCGCGACCACAAGCCTGGCCTGATGGTCCGACGATGGCGGGAGACCGAAGAAGCATGGAGCGAGGAACCCCGCACCCTGAGCCTCGAAACGCCAGAGCCGAAACTGGTCGTGGACGTGCAGCCCAAGAACCTATGGCCTGTGGTGCACTTGGGATGCCCAGTGAGGGCAGCAAGACTTTGCACATCATGTATCCTACCAATATCTACCAATCTCGTGGCCCCTCCCGCTCAAATTAGAGTGTTCTTTGTTCAGGACGTTGGATCTATGCTTTCATAACTTATGATTGGGGAAGCCTGCGCACTGCCCGAAGCTGCGACCTTGTTGCTGCTGCTTGTGCTCAGTAAGGTTCGGGGTGTCGGGCCGACCGAACTGTGAAGCCCTATAAGCCCATGCTGAGTCTCCTGTTAAGGGCCTGCGCAACTGGGTGCCTCCGTCGGAACAGCCGCCTAAGAACACTGTCTGGGTTGGGGCTCTTCAAGTTTACTCTCGATAACTAGGGCAGTAACTTCAGTAAACTTCGTTCGCAAGATCCCCATGAAGAAAGGGTCCCCTGAAGCTTAAGCACACAACCCGCAGGTACTGAGTACGCAAAGGTTTATACATGTGGCCCACTGCTGGGATGACGGAAGGAACTGCCGGAAGCCCCGAAGGCGTAGAAACTGGGTTCTTCCTTGCAGGGCCTCTTCACTCAGGGATCCTTTCAACAAGTTTGAAACCTCCAAGTTCCGTTTAGCGTTTGAGTCCCAGGTTTTGAGAAGGTATTGGGCCCTCTTGAGCAAGCCTGAACGCTCAGCCGCATGTTTACAATGCCCTGCCACGACAAAGCCTGAAGCTGCAGAGGCACCAGCAGTGACATCAGAGATGCCACCTAGTTTGAAGAAGAGCACACGGAAGGCCAGTTTAGGGCATGGGGCTGTGGGGGATTCAAGGCTGAGGCTCAAGGGTGCGACTGCGGCCCAGAATTCCCAGGTTTGAGCTCTTAGAGACAGAGATACTATTTTGGGGGTTTGGCTTGCTGCACTGCAGAGCCTCTCCCTTGGGCATTGGGGGTCTAAGGCAAGGTCCGGCTTTGGGTGCTTTCCGGGGCGCCCGGGTTCGTCCTCGATAGGATGCTCTGGCCTTCCCAGTAGGGTAGCAGCGTGGTAAAGTAGTTGTAGCTTGGCAATTCAACCGTTTACGGGAATTCAGAATACAAGGTCCCTCGTATAGAACCCCTTTAAAAATAGCAGGAGCGTTAGTATACAGATACTCATGCAAGAGTCAGCGTCTGAAGGCCCCACACCCCGCATCCTCAACCCACCGGCCGCGACTTTGGTACCGGGCCTCCATCCCGCCAGGGCAACTACGTGCCTCCCTCGGAACGGCCGCCTAAGAACAAGGTGCGGGTTGGGGCTCTTCAAGCTAGAAACTACGAGAAGCTGTGCTAATTTCCCTAGAATTAGCTTTACTAGAATCCTGCCTTACGACTTAAGGAGCCTGTTTTTCACATATGGTGGCTATTGGGCGGGGTTGTCCACGAACAGTACGGATACCCAGTTGAGGGTGCTGGATCCTGCTGATGCTAGTTGCTTTGCTTCGGTTTTGTGTTTCGGATTTCTGGGGCCCTGCTTGTTAAGGCGTCCGCCAGCATAAACCTAAAACGCGAGGATGTTGAGGACTTCGGATTCGAGGCTGTGCTTGTAGGGGAGTTTGGGATAAGCATCATGTGGGTGAGCTTGTCGATTTAGGGCTTCTTGGCTGTAGGATGTTGAGATATCGAAAAGTCCCACTCCTGCAACTTGCATGAGGCCTGAATCCCTTATGAAGTGTAAGCTCCTTGGCATGCTTGCTTTCAAGTGTTACGGCTGAACACTTTGTTGGGCCCGTGATCTGGACAACTACGACCTGGAAGCAGTTCGTAGAGCTTGCCAGCGCTCTGCACCGTGTTGATCAAGTCTTCTGCGAAGCAGGCCCCAGCAGGTTCGTGAGTCATTCTAAGAAAGGTCGTACATACGCTGATTGAACTTGTCATTACTGCAATTTTACTTAGGACTGCCAATAAGCCTTCAGACGTATCAATCGATCGTGATGCTTTTGGGCGTTTGTTCCTGATGTTTCTACATTGTTGCAATGACGGAGCGCAACCCTTTCACGACACTCCATCCCGTGATCTTTCTCGCCAGGTCATCCGCCCCCCTGTCGAACAAGAGGCGGGCAGATGGAGGATGCTGGAGGATTTGTTTAGAAGTTTTGGGCTTGTGGCTGTGGATTGTTGTAGTGCCAAAGTAGCGTGTCCAGGGTATCGTGCAACAACATCAAAAGCATCAGAAGGCTATGATCCAGACTGTAGAGCCGACCACATGACAGAACATCTCTTGGGGAAGGCCGTTGATGCCAGAGGCTGCAAATCTTGCAACGCTGTCAGGCACTTTCCCATCATGAACCCCAGACCGTGCCCCAAAGATGAACCCCGACATAGTTCTCACAGCACCAAGAACCGCAGGCCCAAAGCCGCAGACTCAGAGCTTCAGTATTCCTGCAAATCCAACCTTAACTCCGCAAACCTCGACCTCTGCATCGCCCAAACACCTACGTACAGTACTAAGACCGCGGTCACAATGACTTTCAACGGCAATGCCCTGAAGCGTCAAATACCAACAGCCGCAAAACCTGATTCCCAGATGCAGAAATCTAAATCACCCGCCCTAGGCCCTAGTCTCTGAAACTCTGAACCCTAAATCTGGAAAATGCCAAACTCGTCCAACTTACGCCGATAGGCCACTAAAGCCCCAAAGCATGAAGTCGAAAGCAACCTTTCAATGCTGAGGCACAACGCTGCAAGAAGAGGAAACCACAATGTCCTAATAGAGGGCTCATACGAACTGCCAAAACTCCTGTCTAGCTGTTGATGCTTCTAGGGTTTGAAGGTTAAGATGTAGGAAGCAGGTTGCCGATTCAACAGTCAAGCCTGGAGCTATCTGAACCCTGAGCCCCATGTCCACACCGTAGAACTGTATGTAGAGCCCTAGACCCTCGAAGTGCAGCAGCACTTTCAAGCCACACAATTCACAAGAACGTTCCGCAAGTTTCATTCAGGATACCGTCACAATTTGAGGGCTCCTTGTCTAAGCCATGGAAACTAAGCCCCTGTTAGGTGATGACCCAAGAGGCAGACAGCCGCTCTGAGCCCGACGTGCCGCACAGTCACCCGGCCCAGAGTTTGGGTCCTCGTGTGCGGTTTTTGGGCTGGTTTGAAAGGGGTGAAGGGACCGTCGGGGTCAGGGCATCATATCGGGATTTCAACCGAGTCTCCTGTAGCAGTCTGGGCTAGACGAGCCGAGACCCTGTCCCAGGCAGTTCTGCAAGTACTGCTGACACGGAGCCTGCAGGAGGACTCGTGTTTGGTTGGAGAGTTCGATTCCGACACCTCAAAGCTTCTACCCTGCTTAAATTAGTTTCCGAAGCAGCCCAAAACAAAGAAATGTCTTGCATTCAATGGGGAGGTTGTGGATCAGGAGTTGTGGCTGTACTTTACTGGGCATATTCAGAGCTGACAATACCCATGAGTCTACGATGGATGAAGAGAAAAGCGCCAAACTGGTGCACTTTTTATTCTCAACGGTGGTGCTCGCCACCACAGGACAATGCTCGGTTCAGACTCCTTTCGTATGTTGAGCAGAGTTTGACGAGGTCACAGCTACCATGAACCTCCAACTTATGTTTATGCGGGAACTTTGACCCCCAATTAGTTTATGCCCGTGGCCTGTGGCACTTCCATTCCACCAGCTTATAAGGGAGGTGCTGCTGTGCCTTGTTCTTGTTGCTTCGATTGAAGTGGTTCCTCTGCTGTTAACTCTGCAGGGTACAGGTCATTATTTCAGGTGCAGCACATGCAGACGGAAACGAGTCCATGAAAAAACAACTTTAACTGACCTGTGATCGCCATGCCCTAGCTTTAACACTGCAAGCCCCCGCCGTTAAATCTTGGACAGTGGTCTAAACCCTGCAAACCCCCGAACCCCGCCAACCCCAAATTTTAGTGCTCTATTAAGACTCTACTAAGCGCAGACTAAACCTTGCTACCACGCCTTAGCCTTAGACCCTTTTCATCTCTTCTTTCTGCGCCGCAGGACTTCTCATGGCGGGACCGGTGCTGAACCCTGCCGGGGTGCCAAGGAAGACTCGTCGGTTTTGCTGGGGTTCAGCAGTTGTGTTTGGGGTGTTGGCCGTTGGCTTAAGTTGGCTTTGGGGCTTTTAGGATTTAGGGTGTAGTTTGTTGCCTCCTATCCTTTGTAAATTCCCTCTTCCGGGACATTGCCGAACCTGTTTGGGTTGTCCTGCCCAGGCCACCCCAATACCCTTCGGAGGCCTCATTTTCGAGACATTTTGGATCAGCCGAGAGGTCCTGCTTCCGGAGCTTGCTGCGTCCTTCCGCAAACTCCAAGAAAGGGCAACAGAACTACACAAAAAGAATTCTCGAGGTGACAGCCAAAATTCTGGGCTGCTCCGTAAACAAACTGCATCAGAATCCCATACCGTCAACACTGGGGCTTCGCGCTCGCGGGCCTTGGAAGCTGAAAGTTCTACATCTCAGATCAAAGTTAAAGCTTGCGACCCTGAGCCCCAGAGTAGGCCTCTAAACTGCGAAACCGGCGAGGAGAACCCTCGACGTAACTCAACAAGCTTAGTCGCTGAGTAGATAACCTTTTACCCGATCATACCTCCACCGATCGGACTATCCCGACCCACGGGATATGCTTGTTCCAGGCTGGTTGGAGGAGGGGTAGACTGAGATGAACCCGGTTTGCAACCAGAATCCCCACTTTAGAACCACAGGCACTATTTTCGATGTGAGAATCCGCACTTTACAACTGTCGAGCCCACTTTGCAACCCATCTGCATGCCTGTCTGCATGTCGTACTACGATTAAGGATTATTGGGATTTCATAACGGGCTTGCTCCTTCCACGGCTCCAAACAGGCCCGACACCCGCCAATCTTTGCTAGGAACTGGAGTGTCGACGGGTCTGCAAACTCCACATGAGTATGGTTGTAAGTTGGTGTTGGGCCTGTTAGTACGGAGCATGTGGATCGCCTTGACTCACCCGCATTCTCAGAACACTCCTATCGAATTTCCTGCGGTGCGACTTGGTCAGCTGGGCGTGTGGGAAAAATAATTTGCTAATGCCTCGAGGCCCCTGAAACTGTTTTATGGGGTCTCCAGATCCTGTCGAGGGCATGGGGTATCCAGACCCCGATTAGTTGAATTCTCAAATGCCCGAGAATTCAAATAATTCAAGCAATTCAAACACGAGTATATGCTTTCATATCTGCTGAGCCAAATGAACCCTGACGGACCCTCTCCCATCCATATATATATATATATGTGTACGTACATATGTCTCGGATTCGGCTTAAGAACGCCCACATTGTAATCAGCAAGACTGTCTAACCTGCATGGCTGCTGTAAAGGATGATGCTGGAGGTTCCGGGCTTTGACGTTGTCAGTTAATACGCTTGTTTAAGACGCGTTCGCAACCGGTTGCAAAGTAGGGATTCTGGAAAGGCTTGTGGGTCGGGATTCTAGTTGTAAAGAAAGGATTCTGGTTGTAAAGTAGGGCACACGCCACCTTGGGAGGGGGAAAACTGAGGGAGGGGAGGGGCATGATTGGTTACTGCACAGGCGGGCTTGCAGCTGATGTGAAGCGACTTGGCTCCCGGCTAATGTAATTGGCCGCCATGGACTGCGATGTTGTGCTTGGCTGGTTGGCGCTCCTCATCAGCTCGGTGGCAATGCTGGAAAAGACAGTGCTGATGCTTTGGATTGGCTGAATTTGGCAACATCCCTTGGAGTGCTGGGGTCTGCGCCTGCTCCGCGAACTCCTTGGCGAACCTCTACCAATGCGTCCTGCGTCAAGCCATGCGGATCAAAAGCATCTTTACGTCGATGATGATGTTGACTTGCCTGGAAGTTGCTGATGATTCTTGTGAGGATGCAAAACTGGAAGTTGCTTTTTGTTGTTACATCTGAGGCTGGGGGGGATCACCAGAAGCAGGCGGCGGCAGAGATCTCGAGCAATTTCCGGGCTTGCCTGTTTCTGCAATGCATGTCATTGCGGTGTCGGAATCGAGAAACGGAGGATTTTGAGAAGTACTGCACTGTACCAATTTCCAGGCCTAGGGCGATGCACATTGCTTGAGTGGGATGTTTCACCGATGTTTCGGTAATTCGTTGTCTCCTTTGTTAACTTGCTCGGACCGAGAGCACCACCCCACGCACACAAAAAAAGTCTGGGGCTTATATAAGCCCCAGAACCATGCAGAACCGGAGTTAAGAAACAGGCCTTCTTGCGTGACATCGCCATTTCAGCATCAAAGCATCTAGCAAAGAAAAAGCTGGTTTTTACGAGGGAACCCGTCTCTGCAACATTGAAGCAACAGCGTTTCCAAAAATTTCGTTGCCTGCGCTATCTGGCCAATATCCCGGGACAAGACAACATGTTTCCTCGAGAAGTGACATTGTTCTCTTAAGAAGCACATGCGGCAGAGATCCCAGCTCTCATCAACAAGGATATATCAAGATGACAACCGAATTTCAAGCCCAGGATGACAAAAACTGCCGAACACTGGCATCAAAGCATGCAATGCAAAAGCCGGCTGACAAAGGAAACAATTTCTTCAACATGGAAAACCTCAGCGAAGGCATCTCCAAAAAAGTCGTTGCTTGCGCGATGGTGCTTGCGCCAAATTACCTCTCATCTGGAAGAAATTACATGTTAGCTGGGATAAACACGTTTTGTGTGAAAAAGCACATGTGTAGCGATAATTCGATTCGGGAATTTGGGTACTCCGAAAGCTGTCTCGTTGAGTCTCCTACATCATTGTCTATAGGATTTGAGGTATATGGCTGTTACCAAACAGTCCAGTTACCTAATAATCATGTACTCCCCCGAATACAAAACTACTACCCCAAACCCCAAGACAGAGCACGGTTCTGCATAGGTGGCGATACCTTGTTACCTTGTTGCCTGGCAACTCAGCAGCTGTGAAAGCCATGCACAGTCAACATTCCATGAGTGAACAGTTTGTACACAAGCCACTCACTCAAGATTCAGTCGGGGCCCCGGAAGTACTGTACATTTAAGACCTTAAACCCTTAAATTCTAAATCTTTAGGACGGTGAGTGATTCAGAAAAGAGCAAAGTTTGAATATGTTTTTTGCCTTAGGGTTGCTTTCTGGAACAAAGCTGCACAACTGGTCCATTTGCTCGGGCTTCAATCCTGAATACTATATTAGGGTGAACCCGAGCGGCGCCGAGGCTGAGGTGCCAACGCGTGGCTCAGCAGGCCAGGCATCTTTCCTCAGCCTAGCAGAGAGCCTTGTGAGCGATGTAAAGGGTGCTATAAGGGTTGTTATAAGGGTTTGTGTCTCATACGATTGTCACGTGGGATTTGGGACAGGGGCTCGTTTCAGCGGCTCTGGCTTGAAGGGGCAATTCTCAAGTCATGGAAGACTTCGATGTTTGTAGGATAGCAGAAGAGTTTGCAAGGTGTTTTTTCGAATGTTAGTACATGGGCGTCGCTATACCGGAGCATGCTGCGCCGTGTTCGAAGCCGTAATACCGTATGATCGATCGTTTGCCCAACATATTCCCTGCATCCGCTCGTGGTTTAGGCCTTATAGGGTGTTGGCTCAGGTATTGAAGATGCTCAAAACTTGTCCGGTGTTGTCGTGCCTACACTTTAAGCGTGCAAGCGCTAGTTCTTGGACATTTCGATTCTCGGTGCAAAATCGCAAAAGATGGGTAAGATTGGTAAGTTTTCGGGCATAAACAATCCTGCCATATTTCGGGTAAAGGAACTCGGCAAGTACCTTCACATCATTCTGCTTTGAGCTTGGCAACTTTGCCAGCATCATTCGATGCTGCGGATGGCATCTCCAACGGAACAAAACGGGCGGTTTGCATGCTTTCGGATGCAGCGTCGGCGTCACCCTGCCACGCCCTTCCAGAGGTCGTCGGCCATAGATGCCAAATCAGAGTTCGCGCAGGAAACATCATATTCAGAGGATGCATCGGCGCCATTTTTCTGCACCCGGAAACACGTCGAAAACTGAAGGTTGCAACAGACCTTGTTGTTTGCAAGTTCCGGTGTTGCGTTTCTGACATTGAGTTTGTTTACCGACATCGGGCTTGTTTATCATACTCTATCACGCCAAGGCGAAAAGACGCAAATGCAAGAAAGGCAACCGAGCACGCGTGTTGAAGTGCCATGTTGCTGCAATTGATATATGCCAGTGGTTGAGCGCGAACTTGCAGTTCGTATTGTTCGAGGTCAAGTCAGGTCAAGTCTATGACCGAAAGGTGTCGTTTCGCGGGTACGATGATTCTGCCCCGAGGGCTTGTATGAATAGCTCAAACAGCGAGGCATCATGAGCTTAGCATGTAAGGTTCATGATGTGGGCGGGCGAATGTCATCCATAGCTATGGTGTACATGCTTCAGCATGTGGTTCGGCCTTAGCCGTCAACATGAATCTGGAGCATGTGTGGGTGTTTCGGGTGCCGGACACCTGTGTCTTCCTTCGAATCGTCGCAGACACTTCAATTATCAAAAACGGTTTGAGTTTGTCTGTTACAAGTTTTACAATGTTCAACTTATACAGGTCCAGTATGTTGAAGTCGATTTCAACGCAGGGTGCGCGAGATCCCGACGAGTTGCTGCTACTGTCATGACCTTGCACCGTCATGCGAAGGGAAACCATAACCGGACCCCCCCGCGACTGTGACACTGAAGTGTAGAACTGGCATCCACAGACCCTGGTCCGCATTGCGGCTGATTCAAGCAAGCCATCAACCCAATAATGACCCATCCCAAACCCAGGGGCACAACCCTGCACAGGACATGGCCTTGGAGCTTGCAAGCCTTGCGCCTTCGTGTACAAGGACCGGGGCTTACAGCCCCAAGGATCGAACACGAAGCATACTATGTCTTTGCGTTGAACGGGCATCAAGGTTTTAAAGTGCAGAGGTTGCGGGTGTGACTGTTTCGGTGGACGATTTTGTTGGGCTCCGCAGGGCTATGAGGCAAAGACAGGCCCATATGTTACGATTTGCAATTCGGATTCAGTGTTTAGCGTGCGTGGTGTGGTCACTTGTGCGGTTTTTCCCGCAATTGTTTGAAGCACATAGAAAGTGAGCCGTCTAACCTCAACCCCGGAATTCCCGCGCCTCATGCAAACCATCAGAAAGCATAAGCTTTTGACTGACAATATTGCATTTTCAAAGATAATTTCCTTCTTGTCTTGTGCATCACTACCGACAGTAATTAGTTACGTGCTCTGCGATGAATGTAAGAACTGAAGTCTGAAGACAGTAGCAATGATGAGGATTTTGGGTTCCAGGGGTTATGCATGTGTGGGATCTCGAGAAGGGGAGTTGGGTTCTTGGCGTTTGGTCTGCACAATTGCCCAGACGGAGACAGCTTACAAAGCACCGAAAACCACAGCATCAGACCTGAAACTGAACCCTTAAGCTTTACCCTCGAACCCTATACATACCTCAGCTGCAAGGATGGATGCCAAAGTGGCTTCGAGTGCCAATTCTGCCATATCTGCCCGCCAGGTGAGATTGGGAGAAAGGGTAGATTTTTTGAGTAGCGTCTTAACACGAACGCCAGCTAAGGGTTTACAGCGGGCCTCTGCGTCTCAGAAACCCTCATTAGGCAAGATTCCTTTACAGGATCCTTGATACGTTGAGAGCTGCATGGGTTCATTCTTTCGACTCCCTGCTCTGTGCTTCTGGCGCAATAAGTTCCTTGAGTGTAGTTTCCGAGGTTACAGCCGGGAGTTTTGAGTAATCGGAGAATAGAGTTGGACCGGAGGATCCCTGGATGAGGATGCAGTAATATCACTGTATTTGTTGTCATGATACAACTAACAGCAATGGTTCGCTCCGAAGCTTGGTTCCCACGGAAAAGTTAGTATCGTCGTTGAAGATGCTGGTCAACTGCAGTAGTTGCTGATCATGCTTGCTTGCTCACTGTTCGTCGTAAGTTACTGTCGACTTTGCCCTTTGCGATATTGTTGAAAGTAGTGAGGTTGTTCGGGTTTGGGGTGTAGGCAGCTGCTACTGCGGTTGCGGCTGATTTCGAGTTCCATTACCACGACCACTGCTACTGTGCTGTCGAAGGCTCGACCGGAAGACCTATTTTGAACCCCACACCCCCATAGCTGCAGCGTTGAAATTCCAACACAGCTACGCGACGTCAATTTCGCACGTTTTTAATGGGTCTGGGTTTCGGGCTTTCGAGGTTCGAGAAACATGCTTCAGGTACACAAGGAAGACCTTCAATCGTCAACCCCACGACAAAGCCCCATGGCTGAGCCCAAGCCCTAAAGCCCGAAAAACACGAGACCCACGCATGCATCCTACGCCAAACCCCAACCGGAATCGGAATCCTGTCATCTCGAGGCGAGAAGATCCGTCGTAAAAAGGACTGAACTTTTCTTGGTGCTGTGTTCTGTGCACAATGACATAGGCACCTCGAAATGAAGAGCTATGTGTCCACGGGCCATTGAATAACATGGGTGTGATTCCTTATATAGTTACACATACAGTACCTTATTGTCGTCATTCATACATAACATGTGTATATATTTATATACAGAGCAGTAGTAGTTGTAGTAGTTGTAGTAGTAGTACTACTACTACTACTACTACTACTACTACTACTAGTACGAGTAGTACTTGTG